GTAACCGTGAAGTGTAGTACAATAAGTGAAGTAAACAGAAGAACCGTTGTACCAATTAAGAGTAAAATCACAAAATTATTTTCGAAACAAAACTAAATATTGTGTTAACTGTACAGAAATTGATAAATTTAAATTGAAAACAGTAGTGTTGATGCGTAATAAACTATAGGAACTATACATTTAACCTAGCGCACTTGATTGTACTCATTAACAACAGAAATCGGAATGGAATCACCTCGTTCTTGGAAATGTATCTATTTGGTATAGTGGTAATCTTCACAAACCATATTTGCAAGAACAGTTTTACTAAGGTTGATTTCGTTCTCATTCCTTTTGAGTCAGACGATCAGGTTTTTCTATGCTGTGCGAATTCATCCGGTCATCTTGGGTTTCTAAGCCTTGCGCTTGGAATGGAATTGCTTTTTATCATTATCAGTAGTATTAGCTTTATTCAATATTATATTTTTAGTACAATATAGAATTCTCAGAACAAATTGTTTCAGCAAGTTTCCGTTTCTTACTTCTTGGTCGATCCTGACGATAAATATTGAGTGGTCGCCAGTTAGAAGTTAGCAGTCCAGTGAATTGACATCTGAATAATGTACATTCATTTCCGTGTATATTGCCAGCAACCACGATATCTCTGATTAGACCTCTTGTAACCTTTACAGCGAAAGGTTGTACTTTTTTCAGAAACTCACCTGAATAGGTTGTGCGATTAATAGCCATAATGATGTATTAAAACAAACAAAATTAGATAAGTTTTTGAAATATATAAAAGACAGGAACAGGTAGCCCAGATGCTTCAACAGGCCGCCTGTTTTTTTCAATTCACACAGTATGCAGCTTTTATCGAAGTAATGTTTTTTGTTTGAGAATTAGAGTAGGAATATTTTGGACATGTGAACAACTCTTCACACATTGAATTTGTGGTATTTGATATATTGCGACAACCAGAAGTGACCAGACTAGAAAGTTACTCGAAAACAATCAGAAATGACCCGAGGGAGAAATGCGTTTCAGTGATTAAGTTATTGTTTCATTTTCTAAGGAGTGGACATATGTGTACATAAGTAAGTATGTGTGCATATTGTTTGGTAGCCCAATAGACTTTCTCGTTCACGCTTCTCTTCTCGCTTAAGTAATCATTTTAGAAAGTGGGGTGGTGAGTATACCTTTTTGTATCAGTATCAGATCTCGGGCACCGCCTGTCATAACAGTAATAGAGTTTTCAGATTAATGATCTGGATAGTCTGCAGTAGTCAAATAATGAAAGTTGTATTCAAAGCATCTGTAGATTTTGTAATTTGATTATAGGTGGTTCACCCCTATACTTTGTTTATATATCAGACAGACAGGCCACATCATACCATAAAACAGAAAATTATATTTGTACAAACCAGGCCAAATGAGGCTGTAAGTGTGGGAGGCAATAATCAATAAAACTGAGTATAACATAGGGACAGTAAATCATATAGTAATAATCAATAGGTCAAAATGAAGCTTACAATAAAATGAATATAGATATAGATAATCTAGTTACCGAATAGTTATACAATAAGAATGATAGTCCAATAGTAGGTCCTGCAAGTTACCCGTACTTATGTCTTCGCTACTACATAACAGTAGAATAGTAAAAAGCCATCTTTTTAACCTATTGAAACTAATCCACTTTAATCATTAAATTGTGTATAAGTTTTGCTCAAAGATCATTTCATTTACTTCGATTGACTGTAGGACATTCAATCTCATTTCCTCGAGTCGACTAGTATTTTCCAATAACTTTTTCTGAACAACCGTTCACATGGTTGAGAACAAGCCTGTCTTCTCAAAAGTTGGCTTCAAAAACGATGAAATAGCTGATTCGACTGATTTTAAACTAAAGGGAATACTGAAATGAACATATCCAGTAACCAAGTTGGTGTCTTGGTTACAAAAACAAATACTCATTGCGACACTCAGACGTGGACAAATACTTGGTTTATTTTACCACCAACTGTGTTTACCAGTTTAAATGTGAGTGCCAAAGCATATACATCAGAAGGACAAAAAGTAGTGTTTGTGTCCGCATTTCCGAACAGATTTCACGAAAGTTGAGACTTAACGGACAGAAGAATTTCAACAGTGTAATTGCTAGTCACTTGCTCAGCAGTGGGCATGATGTTGAAGTTGAGAAATATTTCAAAATAATCAAAAAAAAACAAATGAATTCAAAACAGATATTTTATCAAGTGATAATCAGTAGTGTGTACAAACCAATATATAAATGAGTGTACTTTTGACTAGAGTTGTCTCTGTGCTTAGGGGTTAATAAGTTTTCACTTGTACCAGTCTTGATATTCTTACTTGTGGTAATTCCTCGTCGTCAATTATAAGTACTAAGCGACACGGGCATAACAATAACGCTCAGCTCAATTTTAATAACTGATCGAACTAATTTCACAAATCTCCATTCTCTTACCCAATTTATCACGTGCGATTGTTTCAGTATCTGACCTTAACTTTGACTATGTTTCAAGACATTATTATCACCTGAGATACCTGATTATTTAAGGCTTACAATCATGTTGTTTACGGTGATTTTTTGTCTGGTGTTTGATTTAGCGATTTTATGTGTTACTCAATCATCTGGTCAGAATCCGAGGTGGTATTTCATACTGAAGTTTATCTAATAGTGACACTTAATTATTGTAATAATTGTTTTCATAATTAATGGAAATGTAGTTGATATTCCAAGTTTTAAGTTTATAAGATAATCAATCATCTTTGAACATCATCGACTATCAATAGGTTATATTTTCTAAAATTTGCTATCGTGCTAATAGTGTCCTATGCATCTTACGATGGCTTTTCAATTAATTAAAGATACGTAACAAGATTATATTTGGTTGGTCATTCAAACGTTTCAACTGTAATTTATATTAACATTATAAGGGAATATAATAAATTAGATGATTTAAATATGTTTGGCAGTAGTCAATTATCTATCATACAGTATCATTTATTACCATCCATCTGCAAACACCATCATTGATGAACACGGTGGATCAGATGCAAATGTGAGGGCGAGGATCAGCAAAGTAAAAGCAGCATATTTACAACTGAAGAACATCTAGAACTCAAAACAATTGTCAACCAACACCAAGATTAGAATTTTCAATACAAATGTCAAGACAGTTCTAATGTATGGGGTGGAGACGTGGAGAACTACGAAAGCCATTATCCAGAACATGCAAGTGCTTATTAATAGTTGTCTATGCAAATACTTCGGATCCGATGGCCAGACACTATCAGAAACAACCTACTGTGGGAGACAACAAACCAGATTCCATCCAGCGGAGGAAGAAATCAGGAAGAAGCATTGGAGATGGATAGGACACACATTGAGGAAAGCAGCCAACTGCGTCACAAGGTAAGCCTTCACATAGGATTCTGAAGGCCAAAGGAAAAGAGGAAGACCAAAGAACACACTACGTCGAGAAATGGAGACAGACATGAGAAGAATGAACAAAAAGTTGGATAGAACTAGAAAGTAAGGCCCAGGACAGAGTGGATTGGAGAATGCTGGTTGTCGGCCTGTGCTCCATTGGGAGTAACAGGCGTAAGTAAGTAATTAAGTATCTACAAACTTTCTATTCACAATTGAAACGATTTAAAAACAATCCATACATTCATTTTGTACTGTTTACTTGAATCTTCCCATTGATGTTTAGGCTTGCAATTAATCATTTACTTATTGGTATATGTACATACTTCGCTTATTGCCTCAATATTGCATCATATTGCTGGTCACTATTAGATGATTTAAATTTGTTTGGTAGTAGTCAATTATCTATCACACTGTATCATTGAATATCATCCATCCATAAATTCACTTTGTATTGTTTACTTGAATCTTCCCGTTGGTGATTAAGATTGCAATTAATCACTCTCTTATTGGTATATTTACATACTACTCTTATTGCGTCAATATTGCGTCATACTACTAGTCACTATTATATGATTTATATCTGATTGGCAGTAGTTAATTATCTATCATACAGTATCACTTTGTAGACCATCAACGTTCATGATTTATGATTTGAGGCCTACTCTAGTTAGACGGGAACGGTGTAACGAACAAGCCGACTTATAAGTCACACCTCGCGACCAACACCTTACATGGATTGCCCCATCGACGTATCAAGGGACCATGGATGCTCTGAAGACTGTACAACACAAAGGACGTTATTACAGGAATATACTAGTTAAAATAGATACAAGCGAAAGTAGAACCACTGCCGCATGGGCCAGTCCATGACATATGATTAACTGATGCGCGTTGATTGTCCTTGACCTTGACGGGGATTGATGATCTGTTCGATATTTAGTGACCCAACTGCCGGATGATTTGGCTAGGGTTCAGTAACATTTCACTAGCCCTACAACTTGATATAACCCATCTACAAACTTTCTATTCATAATTGAAAAGATTTAAAAATAATCCATAAATTCACTTTGTATTGTTTACTTGAATCTTCCCATTGATGTTTAGGCTTGCAATTAATCAGTCACTTATTGGTATATTTACATACTTTGCTTATTGCCTCATTATTACATCATACTACTAGTTACTATCCATCTTTGTTTATAATTCATAGATTATTTATCTATCTTAATTTCTTATTCTATATATCTTTTTTTTCTTTAGATTTACATACATCTTTGTCTACAATCAAGTACATCTCTTTTTTATTTATTAATAGATCAAGGGATCTAATAATGATTTCTGAGTCTTTAAAATATGATTGGTTCATTGTAAAAACAAATATGATTGGTTAATTTATAGTTGTTTTTTTTCTATTTTTTTGTTGTTGTTGGTGGCTAGATTTTTAATTATATTCATCAATAGATAACATGTATCCCTAAAATACAAACTATTTCTTTTCAATATATATACATATATATTTTAAACAAACAAAATTATTCAAAGAAGAAAACTTACTTAGTTACTTACGTTTGTTACCCCTCGTGGAGGAGCATAGACCGCCCACCAACATTCTCCATCCAGAAAGAAGAAAAGCAAAAACAAAAAAAATTTTTTTGGTATTTTTTGTTTCCCCCCATAATGGATTTAATGTACATGAATGTTCATAGAAAATTATTTGATTCTTATTCTATAATCTTTTTATTATTATTCATAATACATATACATTTATCATTAATTAACTGTAATAAGTTTCATTATACTAATTGGAATGAATATGTAAATCCATATAATCAAGATAATAATAAAAATATACATTTTATAAGAAATTATTATTATAATCAACGTCATAATCGAAATGTATACAGGAATAATGAGCAAACACAATTTCCTCCTCCTCCTCCTCCTCCTCCTAATAATAATAATAATAATAATAATAATAATAATAATAATAATAATAATAATAATAATAATCAACGTTCATCATATAGAAGTTCACCTACTTATCAAAATTCTCATTTACAACAGTCGAATAAATATCGATTTCAAAGACGTCTAGTACCGTATTCAAGAAATATAGAATCTGTAAATCCTTATCATTCATATTCATCAAGAAAATATTCACATGAATGGTGGAAGAAACATTCTCCATCTGGTAACTATCCTAATAGATATATTGATTATGGAAGAAGAAATCAAACACAAGCAGATCGCGAAGTAAATGATTATGTAAGAATTTATTCGTCAGATAGTCCAATTGAATATGGTAATGCAAGGCCTGAAAATTATTTTGAGAGAGTTATAACTTTATCACATCCTAACGATCGTGTTTGGAATGAGAAAGAACAATATTGGGGTTATGCACCAAATTCATATAGTACACAACAAGGAGCTGAAATTTCTACTTTTTTGTGGTCACAAAGTGCCAGACAATTTGATGAATGCATACCACCGTTTTGTATTCCTGCTCAATGTGATTATTATACAGATGGTCGACCAATTTGCACACAAAATCTTCCGTGTTTAGGCTCTACTCCATGTTATCAAAACGATCCATCATGTCGACAATCAAACTATGGTGTAAACTGTAATGTAATGAATTCAACAGTTTGTAAGCAAATGTGGAATTTGCAATGCAGTTTTGGCTGTGTTAAAAACGGTTCTAAACCTTCGGATGTATTATGCGTGTGCAATCCGTGGACACTACAAAATAACGAATCATCCTGTGTTTCGGTCGATCTAGATATATTCAAATGTCCTTTAGGATGTAATGGAAGAGGTCATTGTGATCCAAAAACTGGGAAGTGTTTTTGTTATCCTGGTTTTAAAGGACATTCCTGTGAATTGGAAGATAATTGTCCATCAGGTTTAACAGGACCTAACTGTGAGTATGATGTTGACGAATGTCTAAGTGGTAGGAGTGGATGTGAACAAAGATGTGTTAATACTTATGGCTCGTTTCGGTGCGAGTGCGAAAACGGTTATGCCGTTGTACCAGACGACCCAAAGAGATGTAAACCTTCGGAGTGTTTGACAAAATGTCACTCAGGAAATGGAAAATGTGACAAGACAGGTAAATGCCACTGTTTACCAGGTTATGTAGGAGAGTGGTGTAATTTAGACATTGATGAATGTAGATTAGGAACACACAACTGTGAACAAGTATGCATTAATACTCCTGGATCCTACCAGTGTGAGTGTCACTCAGGGTACAAACTTAACTTAACTGATAGAAAATCATGCCATGAAGTCACATGCAATCCTAGATGTACTATTAATCAAGGATTTTGTTCTGACGATGGAATATGTACCTGTCGACCGGGGTTTACCGGGCCAGATTGTGGTGAAGACATAGATGAGTGTAAAAAAGGGACACATAACTGTTCTCAAAAATGTATCAATACATATGGCTCTTTCAAATGTGAATGCTTTGAGGGATATGAAACACAAAGCGGTAATGGTGTGAATTGTAAATCTAAATGTTCAGAGAGATGCATGTCTAATAAGGGAAAGTGCGATGCCACTGGAAAATGTATATGTCGTCGTGGATTTACAGGTCTTGATTGTTCTGAAGACATAAATGAATGTGAGTTGAAACCTAAGCCTTGTGTTCAAGGCTGCGTTAATACGTATGGGTCATATTATTGTACATGTGACAAAGGGTATCACCAAGATTACAGAGGTCACTGTCTTCCAAACAAATGTAGTCCTGAATGTGTTCATGGACAAGGCGAATGTACATCTAATGGAAAATGTTTGTGTAATCCAGGTTTTCGAGGGTTATCTTGTGAGACAGACGTAGATGAATGCTCTGAAGGAAAACATAATTGTCAACAGGAATGTATCAATACTCCTGGGTCCTTTAAATGTTCTTGTCATTCAGGTTACAAATTATCCACTGTAGATTCATCAAAATGTGAACCTATTTCTTGTCCTTCTCAATGCAATTTAATAGATGGAGAATGTGACTGCGAATGCAAGCTTGGACATTTTGGACTTAATTGTAATCAAACAGTAGATTCATGTGCAATAAAACCATGTGATCAAATTTGTGTGGATTTAGGTGATGGGAAGTATACATGCAAATGTAATGAAGGTTTTGAACCAAGTCCAAATAATCCTAGACGATGTCAGCGTATATGTAAAGATGGTATAGACTGTATATATGGAAGCTGCCGAACTGTGTTTTCAAATGACACAGATCAATCTTTATGTACTTGCCTAGAAGGATTTTACGGAACAAACTGTCAAAACGATGTAAATGAATGCTTAAATGAGAATGGTGAAAAACATTTTTGTGAACATCATTGCATCAATACATTAGGATCATACCAATGTTTTTGTGATCCGGATTATGAATTACAATCTGATGGTCGAACATGTAAAAAACAGGTTAAAAGTGAAATTAAATGTCCTGAATACTGCCTAAATGGTGCAACTTGTAAATCAACTGGAGAATGTGTATGTCAACCTGGTTATGAAGGAATATATTGTGAAAAAATAAAAGATATTTGTGCAATACTTAAGTTATGTGATCAACAATGTTTTCCTAAAGAAGTAAGTCGGCTACATTATTTAATAACTGACGACATTTGTGATATTGTGCATAAGTAGAATATTACACAAGTAATTTAAAAGTATATGATTGTTTCATCAAACGTTAACATCAATGACTGTTTTAGGCTACGTAATTGCTGCAAATATGAGTGTACAGAATAGATGTTGTGTCCTATTATTAGTCGTTCCAACGGTGTACATCTAGGACCCCTTGAGAAGTCCAGCTAAAAAATTTAAGGTTTGATGGTTATCGCGTAACTTTTATATCTCTGAACCGACATTAAATCCTATAAAATGTGATACAAATAGATGAGGTGATATTGGATAACATCTCAAAAGGAAAAAAATGAAACAACAATCAAATCATGCTTGAGCTTAAGAAAAGTAAATTAAACTAGGATAAAAAATTTTACTCCATAGAAATTGATTATGATATTTTGAATTGACCAGATATTTGTTAAATTTAAAGGAATTCTTCACTATGAACTGAAATCAACTAGGGAACTATTGAAAACTGTCTTAACCTGGACTGGAACTTATTACGAGTGTCCTTAGACAACCTACGACTATATGGAATTAAACTTAGAATCGTTAAGTCTTGAGGTGAATAGGATAGCACGTATCCACTGATTTTAAATACAATAATAACAACTTTCTATACTTGTTATTCCCATTGATTCCATGGCTCTTCATAACCTTCACTCGTGATATCATTTCATGCTGAAAACTACCTTCACATATTTTGAGCGTTGATTGAACTGTAGTTATAAGCGACGGATAAAACAGTAGAATACTCAGGAACTAGATTGTTTCATTAAACCATTTCATTTTACCCATAATAAACTGTTTGATAAGGCTTAAAATACATGAAATGAAGTGAATTCTTTTCTTCCTAACGGTTTTTTCTTTTGAAATTGTTCATGTTCTATGGAAAGAATTTAGTTTATTGGGAATAAGTGTTGATTACAATATTTCCACAGTTGGATTCATCAGTCGATCTAAGCTAGACCAGTATGGAAAATCTGAAAGCGTTGGATGATCGCTTTGTCTTAACATGGGACTCTTACTTAGGTGAATAAATAAGTAAACTTATTAAACGACCATATGTTTCTATCACTAAATTTCTACCCACTCTGTTTACATTAATTTTTAAGGGGTGTTTACTTAAAGATAATCGATTTTGTTACATAATTCAACAGGTCTGCTTATGCCTAAATAAATAATAAGGTACACTATATATATATAATGAACGAAGAGTTGGTGGGGAAAACCAGTTTAATGTTTTATGCAAAATTACAGTGTCTTTGTAAAATATGAAAATCATATATGGAATACATCATTTAAATATCTTCCTTGAGTTGTCCTCTACACACTCGATCATTCTTCCGAACCCATTGTTAATCCGATTGCTCTCTGTTTCCCTTCCTGTTTCCTTTGTTTGAATCTTCTGATGGTAAGCATTCAATTTTCGAATCCTGCTACATACTACTTATATCTATCCCTATGAGTAGTGTACATCACACATACAATAAATGAATAAGTAAAGTAAATGAATAAAATGGTATAGAATAGGATAAAATTTCTCTAATGAAAGAAGAAACTTTACATAATTGACTTGACAACGCATCCAAGAATATAAGTTTTTATTAAGATCAGGTCTTGCAACATGTTCGTGTTATAGCATATGTGCTAGATAGGTTATTATAAACCTTTTGTGCATTTTTTTAAGTGTACTAATTCTAATCTATGAGAGATATACAAGGAGAATATATAAATGGAGTAAATAATTTTCTTTTGATAAAATAACACCTACCAACTATTCATATTACTTCAAATCTTAGCAGTACGTGTCGAGTAATTCAGAAACAAGTAGCCTCTTTGCAATAGTAAGTCAGATTTAAGAAATTCCTTCAATATTACCTTATATTATCTTTAATAGAGAAACAACAGAGTAACATGACGATTATTTCTGTTTTCATCAAGTTCTTATCAACTATCTCAAACGTGAAATGTTCAGAAAGTTAAAATTACTTGCTAACTTCAGTTGCTTGCGCCTGTTACTCTCAATGGAGCATAGGACGCCGACCGGCATTCTTCAACTCACTCTGTCCTGGGCCTTCAGTTCTAGTTTTATCTAATTTTTGTTCATTCTTCTCATGTCTGCCTCTATTTCTCGACGTAATGTATTCTTTGGTCTTCCTCTTTTCCTTTGGCCTTCAGGATTCCATGTAAGTCCTTGCCTTGTGACGCAATTGACTGCATTCTTAATTGTGTGTCCTATCCACATCCAGCGCATCTTCCTGATTTCTTCCTCCTCCAGTAGCCTCTCTGGGGGCTACTGTCGGTCTCAAGCTTGGATAAAAGTGGAGGATTGGGCATGGAGGTTAACGACTCCATCCCGTAGAAAACTAACTCCCTAAAAATACGCTAGCTAGAAAAAAAATATTCAAAATTAAAATTACAAAAAAGGAACTGATTAAAAAACAAAATATCATATTAATTAACAACTAATTAATTTAGAACACCATATATATAAGCGAACAATATTGTTTTCGATTAGATCCTCATCAGGCTTTTACTCTAATATACAGTAATATTTATATGCATATACGAAATTATTAAACCAATCAAAGCAGTTTATGAGTCAATGATAACAGTGGAATAGATTACATAATCAAAATTAATAATAAGTAGAAAGTACAAATTGATAGTGTAATGACAGGTTTACTAGTTGTGATAAGAATAATAAAAGGCTTGAATCAATGTTATCGTCACAAACGACAAATGTGTCGTCTATGTATCTTACGTATAGTTGGAATCGATTTATCATTGAACTGAGTTGATTGTTTTCTAGTTTTGCCATGAAGCAGTCTGCTAGAATTGGACCTAATGGAGATCCCATTGCAATCCCATCTCTTTGTCGATATATTTCATTGTTGAAACTAAACTGGACATTAAAGGTACAACGTAACATTAATTCTTTTAAGAGTTCAGTTGGAATACCTAGATCTATGTTGTTAGAGTCAATATACTCACAAATATAACAAATCGTTTCCGTTAATGGTACACTAGTGAATAAAGAATTAACGTCAAGCGAGAACATGTGTTTTCCGGAAGTATTAACATCCTTAATACGATCAATAAATTGATTTGGACGATATCTTACATTCCTTTAACTCATGCCACCCTTCCATAGACTTTACATTAGAAAGAGAGGAAGACCAATCAATCCCTTTTCTTGATGTACATCTATTGAGAAGAAGTAATGGTTCTTTGAAAAGATCTATCTTTAGAAAGCTAACATGGAACGGCCAACTAACCAACTTCTATAGCTGGGTTCCGTTAAATAGAAAGAGAAATTTGATTCATTCTTTATGCTATCGTATACATCGGATATGTAGTACTGAATGCATTAACGAAGAACTCGAGTTCCTCAAGAAAACCTTGATGAAAAATGGCTACCCAGACCGATTCATAGAGAAGAATATGAATAGAAGTAGCGTCGATAGGAATCTTAGTTATTCAGTCCCAAAGAAAAGCCTTTATATAAGTCTGGAATTTAAAGGTGATCGAACATAATTAAAAATCGTTTAACAACAACGATTAAAAGGACATTTAACGCTGCTAAACTACGAATAACCTTCACTAGTAAGAACTTATTCTCTGTGTCCATAAAAGATAAGCTCCCTCGTTTGGTCGCCTCAATGTGCATCTACCAGTTCACCTGCTCTTGTGGAGCAAGGTACATCGGCCGTAGCCAACGCTCGCTTTCAACTCGGATACGAGAACATATACCAGTTTGGTTCTACAATGGTGAAAGGAAAGCAGTTAGAAGTTCTATACTTGAACACTTAATCGACTGTAATCATTCGACGAATCCACAGTCTGATTTTAAGGTTGTTTATATGATTCGTTCAAATCTACGAAGATTTCTTCGTATCAAACTCTTAAAAATAGCCGAAGCTCTTACCATCCATGAGCTCAAACCAGAACTATGCGTACAAAAGAAGTACGTTTTATCATTATCGTTACCATGGCCTTAAGATTATTATTATTATTATCATTCTTTTATTATTATTATTACTCCATTCCTCTTTACTTATGTTTTATATTCTTATTATTTTATTCATGAATACTCATCACCTTATTTATTTATTTATTTTACACCTCTATGACCTTTAATGACCTTTAATTATTGTAACCAAAACATTTTATCCGTCTTACTATATTCACTAAATCTATTGTTGTTATTCATATTACGTAATCCAGTATTATAATCTTGGTTATTAATGTTCACATTTCCTCACGGAATTAGTACTTTAACAAAACTTTTTCATATATATATACGATTGTACAGCTTGATAATAAATTCGTTGAAAAGAGATCCCTTCGCTGAAATTCGTGTTTTTAATTTTAATGTTAAATGGGAATTATATGCCAAAAATAGAAATACGTTACCAAGCCTAATAATAGTTTGATTATGTAATCTATTCCACTGTCATCATTGACTCATAAACTGCTTTGATTGGTTTAATAATTTAGTATATGCATATAATTACTACTGTATATTAGAGTAAAAGCCTGATGAGGATCTAATCGAAAACAATATTGTTCACTTATATATATGGTGTTCTAAATATTAAAGATTCCCATTGTGAAAATTAGAACAACATATGTGAGCGAACAATTGTTTTCAATTAGATCGTCATCAGGCTTTACTCTAATATACATGAATATTTATATAAAAATGTTAGACCAATCAAGGCTATTTGAGTCAATAATAATCACAATGAAATAGAATACGTTACCAAGCATAATAATAGTTAAAAATACAAGTTGATAGTGGGAAGACAGGTGTACTGATAGTAGTAAGAATAGTAAATTACGATAACAAAAGTCTTATCAATAATTAAACATTGAGAATTAATTCTCAATGAGAATAACAAAAGTCTTATCAATAATTAAACATTGAGAATTAATTCTCAATGTTTAATTATTGA